GCAAAACAAAAAAAAAAAAAAAAAAAAAAAAGAACATGGGCAGGATTACAGATAAAACAAGAATGGCAACACATTGATAACTGTTGAAGCTGAGTGATGGGTATACAAGAGTTCACTGTATAATTACCTCTATTTTTGGATAAGCTTAAACTTTTCTATAACATAGTTTTTAAAAAGTATTATATTCTTTCTTGCCTTTGAAACTGTAATATAGTGAGTTCAATTCACCATAATGAACCACAGTGTATTATTATCCACCATGGTGAATGGGAGGGTTAGTTTGCTTTGTTCGTACTCACAATTGACTCTAGCTGGTTTTGCTAGTTCTGAGTCTGATCATTTGTTTTTCTTTCTTTTCCCTTTAATGTCAGACACTGAATGGTCACCTCCTACCCCAACCAGCCTATGGCCTCTTTTCATAGACAATAAGATAAATACGCTTGCTAGAACTGTGTGTTAAACAAGAGCATTCTGGACTAAGACCTGATGACCCACTTAGTGATGGCCACTGTTCAGAAACCTTTTTAGTTTACTTACAGTTCAAGGGTGTTTCCATACCTCACTTAGACAACCAAACTAGAATACACTTATTGGTTAATGGCCTACTGGTACTCTAAGCATTAACAAATTAAAAATGAAGAATTCCTTGCACCTTACCAATGACTTTGAGGAAGTGTTCTGAGGTACAAAGAAGCAGTAAAACTCGAAAGAAGTGACAATGGTCACGTGGGCAAAGCTAGCATAAATTTGACAAGTTTGTTAAGATGCACACAGAATTAACATTTTTTACAGCTGTTACTAGCTTCATTTTTATCTCTAACAAAAGTGAATTTAAAACAACTAAGCTAACTCTTATTACTGTAATGTCTCCAAACATTACAAACTATAGGTTTTCTACTTTTAATAGATTCCTCTGTTTGGCATATCCTGGAACCCTGAAATAAAAGGTTGGGGACTGTTTCTATTTTGGTCCTTCAACCTCCATCTGATCCACAGAGACAGTTCTCTGAGGTGAGAGGAGGCAACACTTTTCTACACTTTTGAGAAAGAGTTGGTTGGTTCTTCATTCTGATTTTTAAGTTGTGTGGAGGTATGAAGTCTCTCTAGTTGAGACCAGAGGTTCTCAAACCTGGGTGCTTATCAGAATCACCCAGAGGCTTTAAAAGATCCTGACATCTGGGCTGCACCACAGAACAAATATTATTATTTCTTCAGCTTTATTGAGATATTATTGACATATAACATTGTGTAAGTTTAAGGTGTACATTGTAATGATTTTCTATATGTATATACTGCAAAATGATTACCATAATAAGGTTAATTAACACATCCATCACCTCACATAGCTACCTTTTGTGTGTGTGGTGAGAAGTTTTAAGATGTACTCTCAACAACTTTTGTTAAGTATAGTCACCACCACCACAGAACAATTAAATCAGAATCTCACTATGGGACTCAGGCATTAGTTTTTTTTTTTCTTTTTTAAAAGCTTCTCAGATGATTCTAGTGAGTAGTCAAGATTGAGACCACTCTTCTACTCAAAGTGTGTTTCCTGGACTAGCTGTTATTAATATCACCTGGGGGCTTTTGTTCTTTTTTTCTTTTCGTGGTTTGATGGTGTATGGTCAGGCCACTCAAGATGGCTCTTCTCTTGCTCTCTGTACATCCTCTGCCCGACCAGGGCCTGCGTCACCTATACCCTATGCACAGGACTGACCTTCCTACGTACTTGCCCTGGGCCCCAGCTGGTGACTGTTCTTATCAAAGGGGCAGTGAGTGCCCCTCTGCTGGCTTCCCTGGTAACGAATGAGCCCACCTGAGGTAACCCCACCTTATAACTGGCAGTCTCCCCTTCCCCTCTGGAGTGAAGCCTGCTGCCATGTCCTGCCCACCTTCTGCTGCACACGGTGGGGTGTTGCTCCAGGACCTTGCTTCAGATGTATAAGCTCCCTCATCCATTAAACCACTGATGTCTCTCTTGCTGACTCTGGGCTCGCTCTTTGGTCTTAAAACTGGGCAAGTGCAGGCCTTGTAACAGATGGTTTTCTTTTGTATTACGCTTGTGTTCAGTTCTTTTTGGTTTTTGTGAATCTACTGTATGTTTCTGATTTGTGGTTACCCTGTTTTTCAAGTATGTTAACCCACTACTATATCTAGTTTCTTTAGACTGATAGTCATATAGGCTCAAATACATTCTGAAAACACAACAACACATTTTCTTGCTGTCCTCCCCCACATTTTATGATTCTGACGTCCTCTTACATCTTCATGTTTATCCTTTTGCTGTTCTTTGTAGGTATCATCCCTTTAAAAATTATTTTTTGGATTTTTTTTTTTTATCTGGATACTGGCTTATTTAAATGATTTACTTTCCAATTGTGCTTTTCTCTTTCCTATAGATTCTTGCTTCCTTTCTATTTAGAGAAGACCTTTCAATATATCTTTTAGGATATGTTTTGTATTGCTGTATTCTTTTAGTTTTTGCCTGTCTGATAAATCCTTTCTCTCTCCTACTCTAAATAATAATCTTGCAGGGTAGAGTATCCTAGTTTGCAGGTTTTTCCCTTTCAAGACTTTGAATATATCATGCCACTCCCTTCCAGGCTGCAAAGCTTCTGTAGAGAAATCAGCAGATAGCCTTATGGGTGTTCCCTTGTAATTAACTCTTTGTTTTTCCTCACCTGGGAGCTTTTAGAACTGCAGCATCTCAGCCCTTAACATAAACCAACAAAATCAGAATCTGCGCTTTTAACAAGATCCCCAGGGGATATATATTCACATTAAAAGCAGCTGGTTCAACCTGGACCAGCAGGCCTGGAAACCTGTTTAGAGATGCAAATTCTCAGGTCTCACCCCAGATCCTAATGAGAAATGCTAGAGCAGGGCCCGGTGATCTGGTTTTAGCAAACCTTCCAGGTGATGCTGCAGCTGCTGCAGTGTACCACGCCAGAAGGCCTGACACCACAGGACAGGGCCAACTGTGTTTGGATGTAAAGCGAGGCTTTTGGCGGCCAGGAAGCAGCCAGTCCCTGTCTCCCAGGTCTATGAATGACACCATGACCCACTCAGCCGCCTGAGCCAGAAACCTGGGAAAGTCCACAATTCCCTCTCCCCTGACATTTGATCACCTTCAGAACAGCCTTAGGATCCATCCAACTCCAGTCCCACTGTCCTATCCCCAGTGTAGTCAGCACTTCTCTCATCTGTTTGACTCCAAGGGCCACCTAACTGGTATCCCTGACTCTCCACGTTCCCCACACCCATACTCCCCAACTTGGTCGTACAGCCAGGGAAACAGGTGCTCTTCTACTTAAGACCCAGTGGAGGTGTTCCACTGCCCTCAGGATAAAGTCCAAACACCTTAACTGGCATATAAGGTCATACACATATTTTCTCAGTTCAGCTCCTTTCCTACTGTTCATTCAACCCCATAAGCTACCTCTGGTCAATTTCTCTCAGTTCCTTGATTGAACCATCCTCCCTCTCATCTCTGGGTACACGCTGTTCTATCTGCCCAGAACACAGCTTCCCTACCTCACTCACTTCTTGGTCTGCATCATTTCTGCTCAACTTTCATTTCTCCTCATTTGAGGTATCGATTCTGCAAGGAAAACCTTCCTGATCTCTGTCTGGGTTACTGGCCCCTCTGATGTGACCCCACAGCTTACAGTAAAAGGTAAACCCTTTACCTACCCCAGTGCTTTTCACCGTGTTCCCCAGGCACTGTTGGTACTTGCAGACCCCAGCACCTACCATGTGGTACGTGTCCATTAGAAATGTGTTGGTTGGCCAAATGAATGAACACGTGAGACTGAATTCTCATCCCTATGCAGGAAGCTGTATACCCCCCTCAAAGAGCCTAAGGAGGATATGGTTTTTAAATGGACTCTTCTGATTTTCACTGATACTTAAAAGTAATGTATAATCCCTTAGGTAAATATCAATCTTTCTTAAATCAAAATGCAAATATGGGTATATGGTTTTTTCCATTTTAGGAAGTCTTCTATACTCATTAGTTCATCAAATGCCTATTAAATATTCATTATGTGCAGGGCTCAGGGTACCAGGGACATTGGAGATACAAACGTGACACTGGAACTTGGCCCAGCTGACAGTCTAAAGTTAAAGAGAAGTCATGTGCACAAGGTAGAGGATGGTAAGCCATAATGGAGGCACCAAAAACTACCAGGTGTTGAGGAGAGGCTCCTTATTGGTAAGAAAGACTTCATAGAAGCAGCAGCATTTAAGCCAAGTTTTGAACAACAGAAAAGATTTGGGACATCTGGCGACAGCCATGTAGAGCTAGGGACCTGCATAAGCAAAGAGAGAGGCAGTGAAGTCCAGACAGGCAAAGGAAGTGGGAGAAATTACCGTTAGATGAGGCTGCATCACTGAGGAGACTGAATTCCTGGGAGGCTGTCTAGCTTTTGTTGTATATGGGCACCATGGAGCGCCTCAGGAGTTTTAGAGGAGGAGTGAAAGGTTAGAGCTCTTTCCCAGGGAGAACAGAGATCTGGTTCTCTTTTGTGAGAGGACTGAGAAGGGAGGGAATGAGGTAGGCAGTGAACAGAAAAGTCACCATTCTGGGCAGTTCCAAGGAGTTAGAACATTGACATCTAATAAGTTTGGGTGAGGAGAACTCTTGTTGAATTTTAATAGTATTTTTTTTTCCCCAGAAAGAGCTTTTACTAATGCTAATCCTATTTTAAATAATTTCAAAAGAATCTTTGTTATAATTTTATCTTGACTCTCTATCTCCTTTCTCCTGTTCATTCTGCTAAAATACCTCAAACAACTTTTCTTCTAGTGGAAATCCACAACGTAACAGACCTAGCAGGAAAATCCCACCTGCAGTTGTTTCTCTCAACCTTACCACAGAGGAACAACTACTACACTGGAGGAAAAAAGAGCAACTTCCCTCATCAGTGCCACCTCTAGGCACGACTGCTCCCTATTAAACTGGTTAAGAAGGTGCCATAGGTTTCTCTATCCCCCCTGCCACCCCTAGAGCCAGTCCGCACTTTCTGGCTTGGAAGCTGGGTTGAAAAGACCAATGGCTGTATAACTTCTGCGTTACAACACTCACTCTGACATCTCACAACCAAGATGGTTTTGTGGTTCATTACAGCCTCCATAACCAGATGACAGCAAGCAAATTAATTCAATCACATGATCCAGATGATTCAGGATATGTCTTTTCTATAACTCAGTGATCTAAGATCATTAGTAAATGCAGCTTTCTCAAATGAAATTTTTAAAAGGACTGCTCTCCAAGGGTATACTGCCCACTTTGTTCGATTTGAAAACCGGCCACACCCCTTCTACTGAAAGGGTGTAGAGTAATAGTCTATGTTGTGACATGGCTCACTTCTGTAAACCCTGCTATTAGACCTTCTTTGTTCACCAGCTCCAATTGCTTGAGGTTAACAACTAATGATTTAAATGTATTGCCTACAATAGTTTAAAAAAAAAAAATTCCCTAATCTAGAAAAGGGCTTCTTTTGTTTAGGACCAGGGTAGATGACAGAAACGCAAAAGGTTCCTCTTTTGTATTAATTCCCACAACTAGGAAATGTTAATTGGATATTGAAGTCATAAAATAAAGGATGATAAAAATGGATATGCAAGTAGTTTAAAAAGAGAACCACCTAGTAACTGTGCCATATCAAACAGTCAAAAATGGCCACTACGGGTGGCCATTTTCCTTTTTCCTTTCCCGTAAGGGATCTTAGTTCCCAACCAGGGATCAAACCCGGGCCCACCGCAGTGAAAGCACCGAGTCCTAACCACTGGACCGCCAGGGAATTCCCTAGTTTGAGTGTTTTAATTCACAGCTTACTGGGAAGTTGAGGCTTCTATCTGATGTTCTGTCTCAATTAACAACTGGCAGAGAAGTTGGTAGGTCATGTACATTAGCCAAGACACTATTCTCTGTCATGGTCAAGACATGATTTGAAGAGAAGCATGTGGCATGTGTGGGATGCAGCAGCTTGGCAGGAGTTCCCTCTCTGCAGCTCATGCAGAGTCAAAAGGCAGGAAGCAGGTGTAAGTACAGGGGCAGTCTGTGAGGAACTGGGGGGTGGCAGGAAGGAGGACTACTGTAAAGAGTTTAGAAATTAGGAAGGGCACGTCTTACTTAGCCTGATGTAGAAAGAGGAAAGACCTGGGGGATGTCAAGGTGAGTGTTCATGCTGCCAGGAGTTGAGACCAGGAGTGCAGAACTGGCTCCCTGAGGACTAGGGGTTGGGGACCAGGCACCGGGGAAAAGGGAGGGTAGGACCAACTACTCAGAACTAGGCATGCAGGACAGGCCACTCTGGGACCAGGTGCACAGGACCAGCCACCAGGCTCACAGACAGAATAAGCTCTTGGCAAACAGTCAGCAGTGAATGTTAGCTCCTATCATTAACGACACCTGACCTGGTGGATTTCATTTCAGCACCTTACCTTATTTTCTGAGGAGGCCCTACAGAGTGTCATTGGTTTGAATGGTTCCAGATACATGGAACCCAAATCCAAGAAACCCACTAAATCGGTGGGTAGTGTGGAATGATTCAGTAAGAACTGTTTTCAAATTAACATTTTAAAATACAAAAGAACCAACCGAATTCAGCTTTTGAAATTCTTAACTTTGCTGGATCAGAAAAGCTCAGATTCCTTGAAGGCTATAATAATCACAAGTAACATCTGAAATATGAAATACAAGAGTATTTCTAGAGACACTTTGGGGCTCCTAACTTACGTTTGTATCCTCCAGCAATGCCCGACTGTGTCAGGCATCTCTGCAATTCATCAGCATCTATTTGTCCATCCTTTAAAAAAAAAAAAATAGGAAAAGGAATCACAATCGTGATTTGTACTTTCTAGTTCTTTGTTTACATTCAGTATTCAGTGTAGCAATAATGGTAAAGAAAATGAATATTATCATGCATGAGACTTTTTTTAAAGGGATGCCTGCTAAAAGTAGGCATTCTTTTTCCTCACTCTACTTCCCGTAACAATTTAATTACAGAAAGAAAGACAAATTGTTAGGGCCTCTTCCACAAATGTATAATTAGGGCCATAAACAAAAAATACATTTCTTAATACCTAGGTAAAGTAGGCATTCAATTTCAGGCTCTATTTTAAATAATCATTACACAAAAATTAACCAAGTCTGAAAGCTGCTTACACCTATACTTTAGAAGAAATGATGAAAAGGTATTGGTAGTACTAAATTCCCGAATTAGACTTGGCATAAATGTTCTCAAGTATAAGATTCCTCTTTTAATAAAACAGTGAGGTGAATTCAGTTTCTTCCATTGAGACATGAATAAAACTAGTTTCTGTCTTGAACTACTCTCAATCTGAGCTAGGAATCTGCCAAAGCAAGCATTTTAAAATAAAATTATTTATGTAGTTGATTAAAAGTCTTATTACTCTTTCTAGCTTTTTTTTTGTCAGGGTGTGTGGAGAGCAGGGTACACAGATGACATCAGTAAATGAAAAGTCTGGTTCCCACAGAAAGCGTCCTCTGTGATCACCTTTGCTTATGATGTGATGAATTGTTTTTTTATTTTTGGATCACAATTATACCTGGGAGACAGAGGTTCCCCGTGCTTATTCACTGGCTGACCTAGGTCAGAACTAGATACATGTTATTTATAGGGATTTTAAAATAAAATACCTCAATCCTCAAGTCCATGACTATTATATGTTCTAGACGAGGGGCATGATCAATAATGTGAAAAACGACGGGCATGCTGCTGCAGCCAGGGCTGCTGAAAGCTAAGCAGGGGTGGGGTCACTTACATGGCTGCAGGCACAGGCAATCTAAGAATAAGGAGTCTTGAGCTTTGCCGTGTCTTGTGGTTTCAAAGATACTGATCACTAACAGATGAAGCAGATACTTAAGGGGCAGCTCTTTCAGTTTTAGACTCAATTTTCCAGTGTTTCTCAAATGGTATTTCTTAGAGTGCTATTCTAAAAGGTGGTTGTAGGTTGTTATTCCATAATAGTCTAAGGCATTTTCACATTAAGATCATGTTATTTCTAGCTTTTGATCAAAACAAAGCTAAGTTGAATTCATAAGCACAGACACCCCCTCTGGACATGTTTGGGTTATACCAACAGTATATTTACCATATACATTCACTGACCTGGGAGCTGGGGAAGGGGCCTCCCTCAAGATGCACTACCGCCTGTCATATGACTTAGAATGTAAAGAAGTGAATGGTCCTGGGGTGCTGACCTTAATTCTCTCCCTGGGTCAACAGACCACAACACCTGATAAGGACATGAAAGACGTGACCTGGTAACAGCATCTGCATCAAAGAGGAACTAAACTGTTCAGAAGATTAACTTCCTGATAGTAAGAAGAATATAGTACCTTTCTTATTTTGAAGCTGGTGGGTTTTTACCACACATACCTATTTCCTAAGCGGGTAATTGATTAACAATCAAACTCTACCCAAAGAAAGAGTCCCCTAGAATCTGGCTACAGAATTCCTAGTACCACATGCTTTTAATTGTACAAAGAAGGGTTTAACGTTCAGCAGATCTGGTTATTTCTTCTCTGGAAACCACTATGGACCCTGACAATTCAGTTCTAAAGACATCTTTCTACCTCACATATCTTCAAAGCACATTTATCCTAGCCTGTTCTGTTGAATCTGACCCTAATTCAATCACAAGTTTAGTTCTGAAAGTAACATAAACACGAGTAACCCTCTGTCCTAATTTGTTCTGAATATTCAAAAATAAGTAACTGCCTATGAACTTCTCTCTCTCTCTTTTTTTTTTTTCTTGTGCAGAAGCAAAGGAATTCTTTTCCAGAGGAAAGTCTGTTTTTCTGTGCCACTCTAACAAAGGTTAATACAAATGTAGAATCTGACAGTCCTTTAATGTTAAAGGGAAAAGCTAACCTGTCCAGCTACAGCAGCAAAGTAACCATACAGCGGATCCTGAGTTTGTCCGGGAAACGCAGGCCCTCCGGGAGCCCCTCCATACTGTAAGACAGGAAACAAATGCATCATTCTGCTGACCAAGTTTTATTCTTTCACCACTGAGTGCCTCATGCAAAGCCAGGCAATTGCCAGGCCTTCGCTGTCAGTCGTTTGCCACCAGGAACTCTCTACCTGCAATCACTCCTCCCCTTTCTCCCATTCTCACCCCGTTATAATTTAAAAACCGGCAGCTAGAATCATAATGAGTAGTCTTGACAGTGACATCAGTGCAAGTGAAGCAACTTTACAAATCCCCAATAACCCGCAGGCTACTGAGATAAACACAACCTGGGCATGCAGCTTGCATTTTTCTAGCGTTTACGGTATTTTTAAAGCGTTTTGAAACAGGTGTAGCCTCGGGAGGGGTGAGGTGTGTCAAGGCGAGGGAACTTTCTCTTTTGGAAACAGTTCCCATGATGACGCGCATCCCTGACGCAGGGCGAGGCGGCCTTCCTCCCGGAGGTCTTTGACTGTAACGGACTTTCCCTGACTTTCCAGTTTTTCCCACTTTCTTTCAGAGAGGGAGAAGTGGACCGCAGGACCATTCTAGATTAAAATGGCTGTTGCTCTCAGGGAAGGCGGAAAGAAGGCAACACCCCATGTGCACGATTTCACGCCTCGGATCCGGGAGTCACAGGGTGGGCTTCTTGGGTCAAAACCGCCCGCGCCCCGGCCCCGCGTAGCCAGCCGAGGGGAGAAGGGACAGAGGGAA